CCCTGAATGACCTGGAGCTCCAAAAGAGGGATGAGCGTTACTTCGACAAGGAGGAGGAGAAGAAGAAATGGATCGATATTCTCGATTGCCATTTCCATAACTGTGTCAAAGCGCAGGAATTCGAGCAGTCACGGATTATTAAGTTTACACCCCCGGATGCCTGTAGGCTGGAACTGATGCGTTTCAGGACACGGTATAATGGGCAAGACCTTCCCTTTTCCGTGAAGGCTGCGGTAGTGGTTCAGGGGGCATACATTGAACTTCAGGCTTTTATAAACATGTCTTCAACTGCTCCGATCCCGACGTGTTTACCCTCTGTGAAATACTGTGAAAACGTTATGATACGCTTTCCTGTTCCTACACAGTGGATCAAAGCACTTTGGACCATGAACCTCCAAAAGCAGAAGTCCCTAAAAGCAAAAATGAATAGGAGAGCGTGCCTTGGCGCTTTACATGAGGTTGAATCTGATCCTGTAATACAAGTCTCAGTTGGAACAGCAAAATACGAGAGTGCCTACAGGGCTGTGGTGTGGAAGATTGACAGGCTTCCAGATAAAAATTCAAGTAAATAATTTGCACTATAAAGTTATGGGATTGGGTGTGTGTCTTCACTGTTTTTGTGCTTGTGCACCCCCATTAGCTGCCTGTTTTGGGTTTTTACCTGTGCACTGCTATTGGTAGAAGCCGGAGCAATCTTTTAGGAAAAAGAGAATATAGCCTTTTTTTTTTTTTAAAGGATATTTTCCTAATTTATTTCATGGAGTCAGATGCATTATTGTCAGTCATTTTAAGTGAGCAGCATCATGGAAGTGGATCTCATTCTGAGTAGACATCAAATCTGCAATAAGACAGAGGGAAGGGTTTGTTCTTTCTGTATACCAGCTGGGCAATGGGTGGGATGGGAAGAAAAAGTCTTCTGGTAAAATGATTTGTCCACCTGCTATCACACAGTTAATAGAAAAGGTGGTGGTATCATCACTGCTGGGTCTTGGCTTTCCAGCATCATTTAAGAAATGGTAAGTATGATACATACCTAGAAGGTTCTGTGGTCAAATTTCCCATGGGAAGGTGACTGTGTTTTTGCAAAGGCTGATATCTATTGCCTCTTTCATCAGTTTGTGCGTTGAGATTGTACATTCATGGCAATAGCTGCACTGATGCAAAATGCCTCCCCACTTTATTCCCATTTCTTTCTGGTAGTGGTACCTCACTGAAAACTTGCAGCAATAAAATCAGCTACGTTTATGGTTGCACACATGGAAGTAGTTAATTTATCAGAAAAAATAGGACTTTTTGGAGAAGAAAAGTATAAATATTTGGTTTTAAAATTCCAATTCTCAATCATGTTACCAGTACTTTTTTAAAGGCATAGTACTTTTCTAAAGGCATATAAATTCTTGAGGAATACAGTATCCTGCTTCAAGTTCTGTAGAGTGAAGAAATTTGATCCTTTCCTTGAATATGCATTATATGTACTTTAGGCTTTGGGAATTTGTGTAAGACAAGGGCACCCGTTAAAGCATTTTGCCTAAAATATCTGTATAATCTGTACTTTTAAAAAGGGGGTAAGTGCATGTTGCTAACAAATGGATTGTCCTAGTCTTGTATTTTCCTAACTACCTCTTTAAAATGTCAAGAAAAGATTTCATCTTCTTAAGTCTTGGTTTCAGGTGTGCTAGCAATAACCTGACATATTAACTCTCAGATTCTGACAGCTAGATGCATGTGCAGGTGAAAGTTAACATTCAAAAGTATTAAAAAAAAAAAAAGAGTAAAGACAAAAAAATTACCAAGGATTTCCCCCCTCCCCCCTCATTTTTAACTGATTTTAAGTTATGGTTAATCTGACCTGTTGTTTAGGTAACTATGACTTTATTTTATTTTTTTACAATTTGATATTTGAGTTAAGACTGATGGAAAAAAGTGGTGAAGGAGCAAATGAAAAGGGAATATTATCCTGAGCCTATATATGAACTAAATTGCTTGTGGGTTAGAACAGCATTTGTAATCCTCCTACATCAAGAGATGGTGTTTACTAACAGTGCTGCATTGAAATGCTGGTCCTCTTTGCGTGTGGACTGGGACTTGCTCAGGTGATGAGGTCTCTCAAGGCCTGAGGGACTGTGCCTTTCACTTCCCCGAGAGGCACTCTGTGGGAGGAACAGCACAAACCCCGCTGCGGTCACAATCAGAAATTATGTTGTGTTAATGCCATCTCTGTTTTTCCCTTTCTTTTGCTTTGGAGGAAGCTGTGGTTGGCTTGGACCTGTGGCTAATGCTGTATCTAGTTCTCCCTGAACTGGCTGAGCCCTCCCTTTTACATTCTGCGTTTCTGCTGCGCTACTCGAAGAGGATGGTGGTGGCTGCCATGGCAGTGGGAGAGAGGAGGAGATGCGGCATCAGCAGATGTGCTACTGACAGGGAGGGCGGAAGAGTTAATGAAGAGATGTTGGAGAATTAGTAGGCAGAAAAAGATTCTTCAGGTCTTCCAAATCTGTAGATGTGGGTGTCCTGTGCTATAGGTTTCAAGGGTTTGCAACTTGAAATGCTGGTGTGATCCATGTGTTTTCCCAAGGTTTATGGGACTAACTGTTTGGGAAGCTTTTAGTATTCTTTGCTATTTAATGTCGGTTTGGTTCTGCAAAACCAAGTCAAAATTTAGGCAATTTTAAAGAAGATTACAAGTCTTCCCAAGTTTTTAATTCCCTGCAGTTCTTTCACCTTAAGATTTGGTGTGCACAATTAACTTTAGATTTGTGTTATTTGAAAGTAAAAACTGGGGGTTTTTTTGTGGCATTCTACACTTTATGTTATTTTCTACCAGTAGCTTAAACTTTTGACATTTGAATAAGTCCTTTGGCTGAGACCTGCAAAATCATTTGTATCCTTGAAATGTTCATGTATTTGAGAAAACATTGTGGTAGTAATACTGCCAGGTCAAATTTTAAACCTCTTTATCAAGTGCTCTGTACACAGTTAAGAGTTTAAAAATAGAGTTGTCCCGAGGCGTGCCAGAAATCTGGAAACAGTCAGACTAATAGAAATATGTAAACTTTCATAATATGTTTATTCCAGCAGGGAAAATATGCCGAGGCTTTTGCTGTCAAAAAGCCTTTGCCCAAGGCTTTAAAAGAAAAAAAAAAAAAAAAAAAAAGGAAGAAAAGGGAAGGTCGCCTATAGTTATATTGTGGCTTCAATAATAGCCATTGAAATATGTTATTATCCACTGGATTCTACTAGAGCACTTCTTTGGAAAAGTGGTCAAGTGAAGTCAATATGAGCTGTGAGGTACTCCAGACTTTTAAAAGCTGACTATGCTTATTCAGACATATATATGTAGAATTCATAGAGTTTGGAGCCAGAAGGTTAGCATTATTTAAAAATAAATTAAAAAAAAAAAGTAAAAAAGCCACAGACTTTGAAGGGCTGATCCAATGAAATTTCTGCAAATTGATTCTATATTTCTGAAGTCAGGGCATTTGTAAGGAAATATGGAATATATTATGATTTTAGCACAGTACTGGGGTCAGTCTTTGCAGTGGAGAAGGTGTGTGCACTTGTCTCACCCAGGGAGCTGGGGAGAGACACTGAAATGCTCTGTTTTAATCACTCACCGTGTAAATTAGAGTCCTGTAGTGTTTCTTGCTAGGGCACCTCCATCCTTGGGCCGTTGTGTAAAGCTCTTCAGATGATTATTTCTTCTTTTATTCTGCATCCTGGAGCCACACTGAGGAAGCAGTGATTAAACAACACGGCAAATTGGAGCCAGGAGAGGTTGTGGCTGCTGGCAGCCCTTTACTGCCTGTAGCATCTGAGCATGGACTCCGGAGTGTGGGAGGTGATGTGGTTCCCAGCGACTGTCAGCTGCTGCTTTTCTTATTTTCTAAATTGCCTAGGTGGAAACTCCAAACCATGACTCTGTCAGGTGGGCTCAATCCCTGTCCATCCTCCTTCTGGCACCAGCAGCATTGTAAACTGCTTCTTGGTGGTAGCACCATTCCCACTCCCCTATTTCCTATGCATTTCTCCCTGCAGGTTGGGTAAATGCACCCATTTAGACATAGCTGCAGGAGTTATTAACTTCTAACAATCCTATTATAAATCTGTGTCTTAGTAATTATTGAGGTTTCCATGTTCAAAATAAAACTTTTAGAACTGGACCAATTTTGGCAAAAATAGAATTTCCCCCTTAAGTAAAATAACCAGTACATTTTTTGTCTTAGATTGCTTGGCTTCAGGAACCTTTCTCAGATCAAGGTTGCTTGAATGCTACTTGTTCAGGTGAATAAAGTCTAAGCAGTGTGAATAGATTCAAAGTTAGATTCTTAATTGCTTTTGAAATGCCATATGAATGTTAAATGATATTTTGAATCTAGTTTCATAGTTTTAGTGATCTTTGTTTGTTTGTTTTGGCTTTCTTGTTGGTATTCCTCAAAGAAAGAGGGCAAGAATTTGGAATGTTCTTTAGGATATAGGAGCCAGATTTGAAGAATCAGGACAGACTAAAGTCTCTCAATTCACAGAAGTCTTAACAAGTTGCCTAGACACCTAAACTGCTGGATTTCTGTCTCCTAAATCAGCTCAGTTATCTCCCCAAATTATCTGGTTGCCTTTCAGGAGGGATTCAATTTCACTGGGCCATGTGCTCATTTCTCCACGATGCCTGTTGGGCCACCTTTTGGATAGCTGGGCTTGCATCTGGATATGTCCTCTCATGGTGTACAGATTACACTGTGCCTACTCCAACCCACTTGTCTTTCCACAGAACTACCTTCTCTCTCCTTCTGGCCTTTACAGCACTGCAGTTTGTTTTGCAAAAGGATCCTGCACATGCAGCCTCTCTTTTGTTCCTCTAACTCCAGTGTAATACAAGGCCTGGGAAGCAGTAGTTTCATGGAGCAGAAATGACAAGGACTGGCCAATTATAGGTGGAAACTAAGAAGATGTTTGATCAACCAATGTTGGCTGGTCGCTTTGTCATCTGACAGCTGATGGGAAGAAGCACAGCTCAACAGTGCTAGGAGTTCAGCAGAACTTCTCCACAAGTGAAGTGGTGAGTATCTCCTTCTGACATTAACATTGGTACAAGGGACAGATGGGCTGGGGGGAACCCTGTATTTTAGGAGCATGCAAAAATGTCCCATGGAGGCTGCTCCAGGGGACCCAAGGCAATAGCCTTACCAAGATCCCAAAACTATTGTCTCTACCTTTGCAGGTTATCACCTAAGGAAAACGAAGCATCCCACAACTCACTGCATCCCAACACCAAGAGCACCTCATGGGTGTGGGTCAGCTGGAATATAAACTCAGAGATTTCTTTAAGGGCTGTGTGGTACTGAATCACAACTAACATCAGCAGACCAAGAGGAATGCTCTAGGCTGTGGACTGTGGACCATTTATACCTGGACTGAAGTGGACATCTCTCATCCAACATTTGCCATCAGATCTGCCTTGGGAAAATTCCAGGCAGTGGTTATTTCTGGATTCCATTTCTCAGAAGACAAAACAATTATCCAGACAACTCTCATTGCTGTTTGTTTCTTCAAAGGCCTCCCCCCTCCACAGCTGGAAGATGCTGAATTTGATCTCCAAAAGCCCTTAGATCTGTGCCGATTTCCTTCTACCACAAATGGACTCTAAACAACAAACCCTTTCTCCTCAGATCCTTGACTAACCATAGCTCCAGAGGCAGAAAGTGCCACTTCCCTAGCCAAGACAGGACATACCATCTTGGTGCTGCCACCCCTGCTGTCTTCCTCAGGATGCTTCAGCTGTGTCTGACGCTGTGCAGTCTGCACAGCCCAACTCAGCAAACAGCACAAAGTCCAGGTCAGCAAAGTGTGTTGCCAAGCTGCATCCTGGCACCGCCACAGGAGAATGGAGCAGGTCCAGGGAGCCAAAAGGAGTACAGCCCAGGGGTGCTGTGGCACCACACGTGGGATGACTTCTTGCAGTTTGGCTCTGAAGCGAGGGGTGCTCCTTATGACCTCCTTCACTGTTGATGCTGCTGTCACGACAGCTGTTGCTGGGATGACGGAGGATTCAAGGATGGAGAGGCACACCTCAACAGGGGCTCATTCCACCATGTCCAGAATGTCTGGAAGACGGACTGTGGACCAAGAGAGTGTTAGTGCAGGAGAAATGTATTTGGACACAGCAACAGATGAGAAGCAGCAGATCACAGACAAGGCTCACATCACGGAGGTACAGAGATCTGCCCGTCCCTGGGTACATGAGTGATGAAACACCACCTCCTCACGCTTGTTCAGTGCTGCAGCTTCATTCTCAGGGGATTGGTGGGTGTCTGTAACCCTTATTTCTGACTTTGTTCCCTCCTCTATTTCCGTAATAAAATCCCTAATGTTATAGTTTTACTGGTCTCTGTGTTTTGTGTTATTGTCCTGAGACTTTAGCCACATGCTGCATGCCCCTGGCATGGCACTCTTTGCAAACGGGGTGCCTTTGTGCTCTAGTGCCCTGTGGGACCCTGTCCTGTGTGTGCTTAGAGGTGTGAGCAATGTCTCACGCATGCTGAGAGCCCTAATTTAGCTCAAATTGCAGTCAGTCCCTTTTACTCCACCCCCACACCAGCCTCGCTGTCTAGTTGTGTGTGACTGAGCCCAGTTCATGCACAAGTGCACTAAACAGCAGCTTCTTATATGAAAGTGAAGTGATAGTGCTACTCCTTTTGATCATGGCCCTGGTTTGGGTGATGGTTGTAATTTTTAATTGCAGGTGAGTTGTAAAGCATCGTGCCTTGATGGGTGACATGAGTGGGTTGTAAGATCTGCAAGGAGGGCTGAAGTTCTTCCATGTGATCTCTCCAGCCTGTCCTGCTTGGTTTGGTTTCCCTTCCTCTGTGCTGGCATTGGCCATTGCTGGGTGCCTGCTTGCTCACCTTAAAGGTGCTATTATATTGGACATGTTCGGGGGAGCGTTGTTCCCAAAACTTGGGATCTACACGTTTTTTGTTGCAGTGATCCCTACCAGTCCCTTTTGTGGATCTGCTCTTGCATTTATGTGTGTGTCGTGTGACATCTTCCCACAATTTCTGTAACCATTTCCTTCTGAGCACATGTTAGAGCTGTGCTTTGGTAGAAAGAAGCATCTGGTCCCACATGGGGAGTGGTTGCTGGCTCTCCATTGTGATGCACGTTTCTCCAAAGGTGCCTGGGAGACTTCATAGCCAGAGTCTGACACTCTACCATGATGCAGGATCCGAGCTGGTGTTCACATAGCACTATTTTCTGAAATCCATGTGAAGAATCAGTGTTTAGGATAAGGATGGAATGCGATGGACTGCTGGAAGCAAATCTGCGGGGGATGCTTGTAAATCAGCCTCATACAGAGTCCAGCTGGTGAAGGGCTGTGCTTGTCCAGTGACATGTCTCTTCTCTGAAGTGGTGGCTGGAAATGCTGCTGTGTTCCTCTGTGTGTGTCTTTGGGGCATTGAACACTTACAGTCAGCAAACAGCTTTGTAAGCTACTGTTTATTTTTGTTGTTATTAAACATGCTAAAAAGAAGGGTGGAGAAAAAGAGTCGGAGGCTTCCCCCTCTGAAATTTAGGGGCTGATAAATCCAAAGGACACTGCCTATTTCTTCTTCCCTTTCCCTCATCTTTTCTTCCAGGCAGTCAAGTTTTAATTCTACTGTTGAGTGTAAGATCAAAGGAGAGGGAGGGGAATTGTTAATTATGCTAATTATGTACTTAGTAAAAAAAGTGAATTGTTTTAGTATGATTAAGAATAAAGAGCATGAATATCATGATCTTCAAACCTTGATTTTTGAGGGCCTCTTGATATATGGCAGACCTGGAATGAAATCTGGAGGATGGTTTACTGAATTAGACTTTGCTCCAGTGCAGTCAGAGATATTTGTGACAGAACTCTGCCTATCAAACTGCTCAAATGTAAATTATTCCTCAATTCTTGGGCAGGCTGTGAGGCAGGTTCCAGGAAAACCTGCAGCACAGACCAGAGGATGGCCCAAGGCTCCTAGGAACAATGAAGATGTAGCTTTTTTATTTATTTTTTTGCCTTACCAAGTGCCTGTGAGCCTGTGGACGTGGGATGTTACCATCCCATGGGATGGATAGAGCTCAGTGTGTGTTAACTCCATCTTCAAATATTTCCTTCATTCTGATACAAAGTTGATTCCTATCACCAGAGGAAGCCAGTGGATAAAGAATGGAACATTTTTGCCTGAACTTTGAGATGCCACTCAGTGTTGTGGATGAAACCCAAATATACACTGCCAGGCTTGCCTTTGACAAAATACAGCCAATCCTTCCTCTGCTTTTTTTTTTTTTTTTTTTCCTGCCTGCAGCCAAAGTGTAGTTAGTTGTCTGTGCTGATGATTAAAATCCTGGAGAGAAGGAGAAACACAGAATTTCGACGTTTTGCCCTAAAGAATTTGGAGAGGACTCTTTTTGTTATGTTATATTGTACTGCTTTCATGCACACAGTGAGCCTGCTGACCCCCAACTGCTTTGGAAAGCAGGCTTTCACCTCGGTGTTCCTGTGTGCCAAAAGTGCTTTCCCATATCATTACCACATGCAAGAAATGGTAAAGCAAGTGATCCCTAGGATCTAAGCTTGGATTACACTGCTCCAAATATGCTGCACATGGCCTTCATGACTCTGCTTTATAACATGGCAGTTATTTTAGCAATACTTTTTTTTTCTCTGAAGACAAGGGGTTATGTTCTCTTCCTGTAACAAACCAAGCTAGAAAGGGAGTCCAGGTAGCCCTTAACCTGGCAGCTGGGATATATCTTGTTTGAGCAGCACTCTGAGCTGTGCCTTTATCTTCCTGCTGTAGACATACTGTCATAAATGATGTTACACAAGATAGCTGTAGTACTTGAAATAAACACTCCAGTAAAATTCCTACAGTGGAGATCTCTGGAAAGGGGGCTTGTTGCACACAGGGCAGCATTTCTGCCTTAGCTACACTGGTTCTTTTCAATTTTTATATTTCTATGAGCATATGAAGTGCATTTTTAAGGGCAAACTTAGATTCTTTCAAACAGTATGAATTTAGCAACAAAGCCCCAAGTTTGTAACATTCTTCTCTCAGTCAGAAGCTGGGAGGATTGATAAATCTTGCATAAATTAATTCGTAAAACTGCGATGCTTGTGAAAAGTGTGCTGAAGCAGAAAAAAATTGAGTAAAGGGGCACCTTATGTCCAAGTAGCAAAATATTATAGATAGAATAATTTTGTATCACAACTGCTCTGTATTTATAAAAAAATAGAGCTGTGCTCTCTTGCTAGGAGGTAAACCTTATATTGTAAACAAAGAAAAAATAATTCACTGATGATGTGATGGTTTTCTTTTTGTTTTCCAAGGTTCAGATCATCCACACAGCCTGTCTTATAAATTGGAACTTGGATCAGACCAGGAAATACCATCTGACTGGTATCCATTTGCTACTGTCCAGTTTGTTGTTCATGATACCTGTGCCTCAGGAACAGAAGTCAAGTCCCTGGGCATAGAGAGTGATCTGCAGCCCCAGAAACACGTGGTTCAGAAAGCTTTTTACAATTGCCAGGTATTTTCAGGGCTATGCTTTCCATATTTTCCTCCTCTTCTACTTCCCTACTCCCACAAACAGTATTTGAAAAACAAATGTGCTTTGTATTCTAAACATATCTTGCATGTACTTTTGATGATTTTAAACAAAAGAATCATTAAATAATAATTCCTTATCTGATCAAAGATGATGCTGAAAAACAGCACATTGAATGCAGCCTTGTTTTTCCTCAGTTGAGCTATTTTTGGGAGTAGTGGTTTTGAAATCTGTTGGGTCGGGAAATGTTTTGCTTCTGTGTCAAATCTTTTTTTCATGTCATTGCTGCAATTCACACTTTCAGTGTCCAATTATTTGCTAATTCCACCTGGTTCTTCTTGTTTTCTAACTACAGGTTGAAATTGAAAAAAAATGGATTAGGCTTGATGGAGAAGACCCAGACAAGGCTGGCAACTGCCTAATGCAGTGAAAGAGAGGAGGCATCGTCAGACGATATTAGTAGGAATCAGTTTACATAGGAAATTCTATTGTTAGAAGAAGCGCAGTGACCTAGTTTAGGATGAACATGGTCATTGAATTTTTTTTTTTTTTTAGTTCTGATGGGTTTAATTCTGCAGATCAGTACTCATTTGCCTGGCCTGCATTCAAGTAAGCTTCCTGTCATGGGAATACCGGTATGAGTAAGCTCTCCTTATAAAGAGCTGCAGGATGTGAGCACTTAATTGACTGATTGTAATATATTCTTTTCTTGTTGTGTATCTATGACTTGGGAATGATCTCATACTCCATATTGAAACCTAATGGCACTACTCAAAGAGGTCATGTTCACTTGGACGTGTAATATTTGGTAATAAAAACTTCCAGACTGTTAATGTGCAGACCAGCATCTGTGTAAGGTCCAAGAGGACCAATTATATTTTTTAGTGCTGTTTGAAAACTCAAGTCCCTCATGTTTCTGCTCCCCTTGATGTATGTGAACAGAAGAAGTCAAGACACTATTCTTGACAAGAGCCTTAATTAACGAGTTGGAAACTAGGTGATTTCATTGGTAAAATGGGAAAAATTCCTCTGTAATAATGCTCTTCATTTCTCTGTGGCTGTGGCTATTTCCTCCCCAGCACTTTATAGGTTCACTCAAAGTAATCTCATGGGCAAAAAAACCCATATGGCACATGTGATGGAAATTTCTGTGCCAGCATTAGACAATTCTTTTTCACTACTGTAGCAAGTGAGGTAAGGGGTGGATCCTCAGCGAGTGTAAATCAGTCCAGGCCCATTTAATTTGATGAAGCTTTGAGAATATACAACAGAGGAGGTTTTCCTCCTCAAGCTGAGCAAAAGGCTGATGGCTGCTGTTTGCTCTGGCTCTCCTTGAGTATGCAAACTGCAGATGTTGGTTTGGAAATTGCAGAAGTTGTGGCTTTGAGTAACTTTTAAGACAGTCTTTTCATACATGGGAAGGGAGATGTTTTCTGGCTCTAAGATGCTACTGGCTTTACAGGCATTTTCCATGGGGAAATAATGCAGGAATGGACTGTCACAAGAGATGTGAAGCTGTGATGCTTCGTCAGGCAGCCTGAGCTGCTAATCAAATGTCAATGTGTTAAATGTGTTTTCAACAAACAATTGTCATTTAGGGAAAGGCTTTAATAATTCCCCTCAGCCATTATATCCTTGGTCATTTTCTGCTGGCTGTAATTCCAGGTCTGAAAAAAATCTTATAAATTGAAAAAAATGCTCCTGATACTTTTTTTTGGCTGCAGATTTCCTAAAACTATCCTTACTTCAAACTGATATTAGTGGAGGACAAAAGTATAGTAATGCACTGCCTCACT